CAGCCAGGATCACGCAAGTGTGTGATCTCAGAAGATTCTCTGGCGCCAGCTCCGCGGTATCAGCTGAAGCGATAAGGAGCAGAGATAAGCCACGCCCACCAAACCCTGCCCAAATCACAGCTTCCTGAGCAAAATAGCTGAGTACTGTTATTTTAAGCCATTATCTTTAAACTGGTGTGTTAGGCAGCAGTAAAAACTGGAACACAATTATTCTTTTTTCTCCAAAATCAGGTGAGGGCTTATCATGTGCTGGTTTCACTCATATGGTTATTTTAACTTTTATAACAACTTTGTGAGGTGGATATGATAATCTCCATTTTTCCCACGAGATACTAAAGCTCAGAGAGGTAAGGTATCTTGTTTGAGACCAGCCAGCTAGGAAAGATAAAACCCGGTTTCTACTCTTTCCCTGAGTCTTCTCTCCCTACGGTGTGTGTGCTGTACCCAGAAGGGTGCAACCTGACGGTAATAACAAGACTCCTAGCTAACACTCAGGGGCTCTGTAAAGCTTTCAAGGCGAGATCTTCTCCAGTATGATCTCGTAACACCCTAGGGAGCAGGCTCGACTATCATGCCCATTTCGTAGAAAATCGCACGGAGGCTTAAAAAGAGGGTAGCTGATTTGCTAAGGTGATCGCTCTCCTAAGAGTAAGAGCTGAGATTTGCACTCCCGTCATCTCGCTCTGGAACTGAGCTCTCATTATAGCATCCACACTGTTCCAGCCCGGCATCCCCTGTTAAGCTTAGGAATCTTTTTTCCACCATCCTCTCTTTGGAAGCTTACCTGCGGGGAGAACAACACAATCTCACCATCTCAGATCTGTAACATTCTCACATCTCTTTTGTCCTCACTAAAGTAGTTATTTCCATTTCACAGAGGCCCAGCCACAGGAAGGGACCTGCCTCTGGCTCCAAATCAGTGCTCCCTCCTCTTTTTCTCCTCTTGAATCCCAAAGTGTCTTCCTGTGCCTTTTGGCCAACGCGTCACTGTTCTCCAGCTTGAGGAGTACCCGGGCCCACGGATTGCCAGGCAGGTGGCCTTGCCAACCTCATCCGGGCGCTCCTTCGGCCAATCGCAGACAAGCTTTCCCTGTGCCGGACACCTGCCCTTCGCGTAAAAGACACCAGGCAGGCCTGGGGGAAGGAAGGGAAAGCCTGGCCCACGCTGAATCTTGGGTCCCCTGTGCTGGCGAGCTCTGGGAAAAGAAGGGTTAGCTGTGTGTGTGTGTGTGTGTGTGTGTGTGTGTGTGTGTGTGTGTGTTAATTACCAGGTGGCCACAGAGCCAGCCGAGGGGGTGGCTGCTAACCCAGGCAGCTACCGCGGGAGGAGACACTCTACCGCGGAGGGGGGCCCGGACGCGCCGGCGGCGCTCGGGGGCAGACACCAGGCCAGGCGGGGCTTGGCCGCAGCCGCGTCTGCCCGGACTGCTCGCCCAGGGCGCGCCCGCACTTGGCCGCCTCCGCCCCGCCCGGCGCGCGCACACCCGGCCGCTCCCGCACGTGCCCGCCCCGCGCACCACCCCCCCGCCCCCCCCCACCCCCCGCGCACACGAGGTCGCTCCCACGCTTGGTGGCTGCGCTCCGCGCACGCACAGGTGGCCCCACCGGCCCGAAGCGTCATCGCGCGCTCGTGGGGCCGCTTCGGCGAAGGCGGGGAACTGGCTGCCAGTGCCCAGGACGCGGCCGCTGTCCGCAAGCAGTTTGCGGGCGCGCCAGGGACCCCACGACCTTGGCGAGAGGAAGAGGCCCAGCTGGGGGGGTGGGGGCGCAACGGGGGTGGGGGACCTACCTGCGCGGTGAAGGGCCCGCGTGTGGGTCGCAGTTGTCGGCGCCCCCTCCTAGGGCCGACGCCCAGCAAGCAGGGTGGGCACTGCTGGCAGGGGTGGTCTGGGAACACCGGCGGGTCCACTTCGTGGCTGGGCCCTCCTCCTCCTCGTTGTGCCCTGATTTCCTCTATCCTCTCCCCCTTTCCCGCGCCTGCCGGTCGGGCACACCCAGCTCTGCCGGGTCCTTATCCAGCCTTTCTGACCGCAGGCCACAGGCTAGGCGCCTGCCAGGAGGAACCGCAGTGGCTCAGACCTGTCCTAGAGGCACAGCACTCCCCACCCACTACAACCGCGTCCCCGGAACAGGCTCTGGGTGGCCAGGGTGGGCCAGACTGGTCTTGGCTGCAGAAGGACAAGGTTCCTTCTCCAGCCACATCCCTGGGGAAGCTGAGAGAAGAGTCCATGAAGCGACCTTCCTGTACTTTGCGGGTCCTTATCCTCAGCGCCAGCACATCGGTAGCCGCTCAGTAAATGCCCTACCGCGTTGCCGCCCTGAGCCTCTGGGCACCTCCTCTGGCACCTCCCCTGACCTCAGCCGGGGCGCCCCCCTCCAGGAGTCTGCACTTAGGTTTGCTGCTTCCTGGATTCCGGTGCTGGTGCTTCCCAGGGCCTGAGTGTGCCTGAGTCACAACACAGACCTCCTGCTGTGGAGGTCAAGGAGGGAAGTGGAGGAGGCGGTCTCCCCCTCTGCCCCTCGGGCTCACGGGTAACAGCAAAAACAGCAGCCAGGGCTTGTGGTATTGTGCCAAGGGCTTAGATGATCCTATTAGGTACATACCATTATCACCCCCATTTTACACATGGGGGAATAAGGGACAGAAAGGTCAAGTAATGAGCCCAAGGTCACACAGGTAATAAGTGGAGGCAGTGGGTTTCAAACTCAGGCAGGTGAGCCCAGAGCCAGCAGTCTGTGCCAAGCCAGCCTCAGCTGTTCCCTCAGCACCTCTGCTTGTTCACATCAACTCCTGTGTCCCCCTCCACCCCCAAGAACTCCTGTCCCCATCTTCTGAACTCCAGCCCCAGTTTTAAGACTCAAAAGTCACTTCTGCTACCGGGCCTTGACGACTGTTCCAGGCAATTTGTGCTCTGCTCCCCTGACCCCTTCTCAGCGTCTTTTTGCACCGTCCACGGGGGTCATTGGCGCACAGACGTCTCTCTGTAGGACTCTCACTCCCGGCCCAGTGCCTGGCTCAGAGGACGGCACCCCATTCCAATTTGTGAACTGAGTGTCTGGGAATGGTCACTGCGGGAGTCTGCAGACCTGTGCCATTGGTCATTAGGACCGGCGGTCAGGGGTTAGGACGGAGGGCAGTCAGAGAGCAGGCAGGAGAGGTAAAGAGATGGAGAGATGTCTCACCTTCTGCTAACCCCTCTGGGTGGCTCATAGCTGCTCACTTTGTGACCTGGCCCCTAGAGGAGTCTCTGGAGGGAGATGGAGAGTGAACAAGAGGGCAGAGGACACCTCAGCAGGAAAGGCAGCGGAAGCAGAGGCTGGATGGGGCCATCTTCCTCCTTCTTGCAACATCTTCACACATGGAGTTTTCTGGATTAACTATTCAGGCCATAAAAATGCACATATGCTTTTCATACGAGATCGGGCGCGTTCAGGGTGGTATGGCCGTAGACAACACATATGCTTTTCAAAAGTTGCCAGGCTGAGAGTACTTGTTAAAGAGTATGCCTTCAAGGGGTGCCCTGGGCGGCTCAGTGGGTTAGGTGTCTGACTCTTGATTTCGGCTCGGGTCATGATTTCCCGGTTAGTGAGATCGAGTGTCACATCTGATATTGCGGAGCCTGCTTGGGATTCTGTCTCTCTCTCTCTGTCTCTCTCTCTCTCTCTCTCTCTCTGCCCGTTCCCCACGCGTGCGTGTGCGTGCACTCTCTCTCTCTCTCGAAATAAATAAATAAACTAAAAAAAAAAAAAAGTTTGCCTTCCAAAGCCAGTGTCTGAATTAGAGTCCTAGCTCTGTTACCTATCAGTAGGGTGACCTTGGAGAAGTCCCTTAAGCTCTCTGTGCCTAGCTCTTCATGTGCGAAATGGGGACACCCCTTCAAAAGGGGGTTGAAGCGATTTCACAATTAAATCAGGCAAAGCCCTTAGCTCGACACCCAGCAGGTACTAGGGTTCGGTAGATATTAGCTGTTATTATGGTCTCCTCCCAATACCCTCTTCTACACGGCTCTTATCTTTTGAATGCTTACTGTCCTTAGTGCCTATGCACGCTGCTCTCTTTGAATTCCAAGTAGTTTTATTCTCTCCAACTTACAGATCAGGAAGCTGAGATTCGGTCAATTACCTGAGGCCACTCGGTTCTGAGTGTCTGAAGCAGGACTTGAGAGAGTCTTAAGGGAAGCTGTTCTTGCAGCAATTGTGTCCCGTCCCCCAGGAAAGGAGTGGGGTGTTCTAAAGCCCATCGTCAGTTGCCAGATGCAGGATTCTGGCTTCCAGGGGTACAAACCGCGCATGCCATGTGGAAAGGTTATTACCAAGGGAATCCTGTCCGGGCTGCCACGACGCACGGTTCCGGGGGGCCCGTACACACTGGAACCGACCGGATGGTGTCCCCTGGAGTTGGAACGGTGTGGCAGTGTCTGGTGGCCCTCTCTCCCTGCCTTTTTCTAGCACACAGTCTCTGCTTACAGATCTCCAAACACAGAACCTCTCACGAGGATAAATACTCTTCGATTAAAGCAAAGCTCTGTTTGGATTCATGCTTTACTCTTTAGAGACCGAACAGCATGGCACCTATACTACTCACTGAAAGATCCAGAACCGGCCTGTGGAAGATGGGGTTGGCATCTCTGGCTGTGCTCTCCCTCAGAAGATGCTAGATTTGGGGAAGCAAAGAGATTCGTCGCCCTGCCTGCAACGTCACCTTCTGGCTCGACTTCTGCCGTTTCTTGATGTCAAGCTGCCCAGTCATTGGCAGGAGCAGTAGAATTTGTTGTTTTGTAAACAAAACCTGGCACTGGCCTTGCAAACAACCTACGGCTCACCGTGTGAAAATGAAGCATGCATTGTTTTCCAGAACCTTCCTGGTCCTAGGGAATGGCAAATTACGGCCCATGGAATGCTGATCTGAGACACTGCGCTAATAACCATCTTCCTTGCCCACAGCAATCATCTCCCGCAATGGGCTGGACTCCGGAGACGTGGTCAGAATTTCTCCATACCTGGCATAAGTGACGTTCACGTCCATTTCTTTTCCAGACTCTCATGGGATTTCGGTCTCGGCATTTGCATTTTCCCAGTGTCTGGGTTAGGGAGGCCGCTGCAGGGCCCGGAAATGGCCGCTGATGGGATGGTTGAAAGGGATTGTTTCCTGAGGGCCAGAAAAGTGCCGAGGGCTTTTTGAGGACTTATCGGCGCATCCAGATCTACTGTCCACCCCTCTCCATCCTGCTCCGTGGATTGGATCACCGGCCTCCCTTGCCCTCTGGCTTCTGTTGGGTTTGGCCAATGGGAAGCACTAACTGGGATCAGAAGATGGCAAGAGAGTGAGGAGAAGGGAGTATTTATCCCCCTGCCAGGGTAGCTTCAGGTTGGCTGCTTCCTTGTAGCTCCTGCCGGAGTCCCTGTCCTACTCTGCTCTTCCTCTGCCCCCTCCAGCCTGGGGCAGGGACGATGCCAGGCCCAGGGTGCTGCAGACTCCAGCGCTGGTTCCCTTAACTCTATCCCCACATCATTAAAAACCGTCCCCTGGAAAAGATATTTGCAAATGACATATCGGACAAAGGGCTAGTATCCAAAATCTATAAAGAGCTCACCAAACTCCACACCCGAAAAGCAAATAACCCAGTGAAGAAATGGGCAGAAAACATGAATAGACACTTCTCTAAAGAAGACATCCGGATGGCCAACAGGCACATGAAAAGATGTTCAGCGTCGCTTCTTATCAGGGAAATACAAATCAAAACCACACTCAGGTATCACCTCACGCCAGTCAGAGTGGCCAAAATGAACAAATCAGGAGACTCTAGATGCTGGAGAGGATGTGGAGAAACGGGAACCCTCTTGCACTGTTGGTGGGAATGCAAATTGGTGCAGCTGCTCTGGAAAGCAGTGTGGAGGTTCCTCAGAAAATTAAAAATAGACCTACCCTATGACCCAGCAATAGCACTGCTAGGAATTTATCCAAGGGACACAGGAGTACTGATGCATAGGGGCACTTGTACCCCAATGTTCATAGCAGCACTCTCAACAATAGCCAAATTATGGAAAGAGCCTAAATGTCCATCAACTGATGAATGGATAAAGAAATTGTGGTTTATATACACAATGTAATACTATGTGGCAATGAGAAAAAATTAAATATGGCCTTTTGTAGCAACGTGGATGGAACTGGAGAGTGTGATGCTAAGTGAAATAAGCCATACAGAGAAAGACAGATACCATATGGTTTCACTCTTATGTGGATCCTGAGAAACTTAACAGGAACCCATGGGGGAGGGGAAGGAAAAAAAAAAAAAAAAGAGGTTAGAGTGGGAGAGAGCCAAAGCATAAGAGACTGTTGAGAACTGAGAACAAACTAAGGGTTGATGGGGGGTGGGAGGGAGGAGAGGGTGGGTGATGGGTATTGAGGAGGGCACCTTTTGGGATGAGCACTGGGTGTTGTATGGAAACCAATTTGACAATAAATTTCATATATAAATTAAAAAAACAAAACAAAACAAAAAAAACAAAAAAAACAAAACCGTCCCCTGTGTTAACCTCTCCTCGGTCACCCTGCTTGACCTTGCGTCCGCTTCCTGCCAAGACCCTGAGTGACACAAAAGTGCACGGGCCAGATGCGTCTTCACTGCAAACTCACACTAATGGAAGAATATGCACGTATTTAGAATGTGCACAGATTATCTACTTTAAAAAAATTACCGTTTTTCCAGCTGGTTCTTCCAATGAGCACAGCTGGCCAGCCTCAGAGGAAATCTGTCTTTATCCCCTGAAGGAGTCCCTGCTTCCTCACTCTGCTACGTCAGCAGCACATCGCTGCCTCTTGCAGATTCCCCTGCCCTGTGCTGCCTGTGGCCGTGAGCTTCTTCCTGGCTATTCACTCGGGTATGTGTGACTCTCCTTTTGAGAAGTGTTTGTCATTGCGGAGTCATGCTCCTGCCAGGACAGTTTCAAGCAGCAAGAAGCTGGTTTTTCTGCGAATTGTCTTTTCTGGCATCAACCACACTCCGGCAGGCTCGGGCCTGAACTGATTAATCAGACTGACCTGATTAATATGACGTTGTTTCCGATCCCACTCAGACAATCCCCAGGCTCTCAGACGGAGTGTGACTAATGGAGCCACCCACAGGCAGGAAACTCTGAGGCTGGTGAAGACAGCACAAGTCCAGCTGAAGTACAAGCACACACTTCTGGAGAGCTGGGGAACCCATGTCGCATGCCTGGCTACAGACTCCCGGAGGAGGCCTTCAGGCTGGGCTTGCTCAGGCATGGGGGCTGGGAGAGGGGGTAGCATGTGAATGTCCGGGTTCAAATCCCAAACCTGTTGCTTTCTAGTTGGGAGAACTCTGGCAAGTTATGTGGCCTCCCTGTGCCTGGTTTTTTCTTTTCTTTTAAATGGGGCAATGGGACGCCTAGGTGGCTCAGTCGGTTAAGCATCCAACTCTTGATTTCGGCTCAGGTCATGATCTCATGGTTTGTGGGTTCTGGGCCTGCGTCAGGCTCTGTGACAGTGCAGGGCCTGCTTGGGATTCTCTCTACCCCCTCTCTCCCTCTGCCCCAACCCTGCTTGCTCTAAATTAAAAAAAATAAAAATAAATAAATAAAAATGGGGGTGATAAAGAAGATTGGTGTGAGGATGAAATATAAAAGTGTTCTCAAGAAATCTGTTGTCACACACAGGGGCACCTGAATGGCTCACTCGGTTGAGTGTCTGACTTCAGCTCAGTTCCTGATCTCATGGTTCATGGGTTCGAGCCCTGCGTTGAGCTCTGTGCTGACAGCTCGGAGCCTGGAGTCTGCTTCGGATTCTGTGTCTCCTCTCTCTCTGCCCCTCCCCGCCACCGCGACTTGTGCTCTCTTTCTGTATCTCAAAGATAAATAAACATTAAAAATTAAAAAAAAAAAAGAAATATATTGTCATAGAAGCCAGGGGCCCAGCCTAGCAGGTGCAAAGAGAGCAGGTTATGCTGGGAAGGCACAAAAGGGGTTTGGCCAACTGAAATACAGGGAGTCAGGCTGGGACTGTTCAGCCAGCCTTGACCAGCCTCTGCCTTGGTTCTCCTGTTCATGGAGAATGGACTGAATCTTCATACTGGCTGTGTGACCTTGAACAGTCACATGACTGCTCTCTGCCCCAGTTGCCTTATCTGTGAAATGGGGATAATAACAGTATCACATAGGGTTGTTGTATTAAATGAGTTACTGAGTATAAAACTCTTGGAAATATGCCTGCCCCTAGTGGGCGCTCAATAAATGTTAGGGCACCCCTCCTCACCGAGTGCCTGTGGAAGGCTTCCGTGTTCTCCTCTGGTTCAGATATACAGGCTTCTTTGTAATGGCGAGCTGGGGAACTGTGGTTTCGTTTCTTTGGTTTGTTGTATAAGACTTGCCTTCTATGGGGCTTGTATGCCTGGGGGAGGGGTGTGGGGGGAGGGCAGAGGTGAATTTGACTGGTACTTGGCACCCAGGAGCTTTTCCAGGCCCACCTGCCTGAAGAACCATCGGAAGCTCCCTGCAGCTCCCCGAGATAGGCTTAGGTACCCCTAATGGGGTGAGAGAGGGCTGAAATGGGAGGGGACTGGCCAGAGATGGGGCCTCACCCAGAAAATCTCGGTGAAGACTCTCCCCCTCCTATTGTTGGGCTTCAGACCTTGCCTGGCCTCTCGCAGGCTGCTGGCTGGTATCTTGGAGGTGAGAATGGTGACAGGGAGGGAGTGTAGCCCCAAGGTCAGGAGGGTGCACCAGAGCCAGACTGCGTGGGTTCAAATCCCAGCTCTGCCACTTGCCAACTTATTTAACCTCCCAGTGCCTGACCTGTACCGTGAAGGTGGTAACTATGGCACCTACCTCAGAGTGCTGGGTGATGCGTTCAGAATGGTCTGTGGCCCGAGTAAGTGTTCAGTAAATGTCAATTATTATTAATATACCACCAGCCACAGTGCCCTCTGACCACCAGGGACAGTGATTACGGCAGCCAGAATAATGCGCCTCCTCAAAGATGTCTGTGTCCTGATCCCTGGAACCTGTGACTGTGTTGCCCTTTTATGGCACAAGGGACTTGGCAGGTGTGATTAATTTAAGGATCTCAAGATGGGGAGAGTATCCTGGAATTTCCACAGGTAGGAAAGACGCAACCAGCCCTTGTTGGTTTTGAACATGGGAGTTGACCACCAGCCAAGAAATGCAGGCAGCCTCTACAAGGTTTCTAGAAACTGAAAAAGGAAATGAGACCCATTTCTGACCTCAAGGATTGCAAGATTAAATTTGCGTTGTTTTAAGCCACCAAGCTTGTAGTAATTTGTTACAGCAGCAGCAGGGAACTCATACAGCTGTCGAGACCCGACTCAGCTGCATCCCTGAGGGAAGAACCACGCTGACTCACTCCACAGTAGACATGAAGCATCTGTGATGTCACCCACTCTGCTTGTCCTGTGCAGGCGTGGGGAACACCCTGGACCATGGAACTGAATTTCCTCTGGGCACAGGCACTGCCAGGGATTGAATACAAAAGGGCAGGACACATCCCGGTGGGCTCAGTGGGTTGAAAAGGCCTCCTGGAAAATCTAGACCCTCAGGTGGGCCTTGAAGGATGAAAGGTGTGGGGTTTGGACAGGGAAGAGGAGGAGGAGGAAGGAAAGGCATTGTGGGAAGAGGCCCAGGGGGACCAAAGTCAAGGAGGTCAACACAGTCATTCAATCATTATTCATTCATCTTCCTATTCAGTGCTTGTGCTCCAGGCCCTGTGGGGGATAGATACCTGGATAGTAAGTGACTGAAACAGACCTGGTGGGGGTTCTTATGGAACTTACACTGGGAGTAGAAGCCAATACCCCATTATAGTAAAGCATATAACAAACCCTTACAGCAGGATGAGTACAGCTTGTTAAGGAAGCACATCTGGGTGGGCTTCCTGGAGGAAGTGGCCCTTCCAGGATAGGTAAACTGAAGGCTTGTTCCGTATCACTTCAGGCTCTATGTGGTGCTCTGTACTCAGCAGGTGCTGACTGAGAGGAGTTTAGCCATATATTTTATTATTCACTATCCAATTCTTTCTTTTTAAAAAAAAAGTTTTATTTATTTTGAGAGAGAGAAAGAGAGCACAAGACGGGGAGGAACACAGAAAGAGGGAGAGAATCCCAAGCAGGATCCACACCCTCAGGGCAGAACCCGATGCGGGGCTTGAACTCACGAACTGTGACATCATGACCCAAGCTGAAATCAAGAGTCAGATGCTTAACTGACTGAGCCACCAGGCACCTCTAGCTAATTCTCCCTTAGCTCGTCTTCCTGCACTAAGGAGAAAGTCTCAGCTCGGTGTTAGTGTGTCTTTAATTCTTTAATTCTTATTAATCTCGCTTTGTAACCTGCAGAGCTAGACTCGGGTGTGCTATGCAGGCAACAGGTGCCCATTGAAGTCTAACAACACTTCTTGGTTTTTCTTGTTTTTATTGGTTTAATTACCTTCATTTTGTGGCAGAGGGTACTGGTTTTCCACTTCTGCGAGCGGAACACAATTTCCTTTGAAAAAGAACTGTACGTTAAGTGTGATGGAACCATGAGTGAGTGGGGGGTTCTCCCTCCTATCCCGGAGTTGACCACTGGGGTCCAGCTGAACACCAAGAGGGGCACACTGAGTGTGTGCCCGGGGCAGCGACAGGCCTGACTCCTTAGAACTTCCACATCCTATTCTGGGCTGTGTGCGGTGCTGGGGACGGTGAGCGGAAACTGGGTGGCCACTGAGAAGCTGAGATTCTCTAAGAGAATTCTCGTGGAGGGGGGCTGGGCTGCTACAAGGAGAGGAGCCTGGGGTCCATCTGCTAAGGCAGGGGGCACAGTAAACTGCTCAGTGTGCCTCTTTGGACGGGAAGAAAAGAAGCCTGGAGAGGAGCAGGAGACAGCCAGGGGACAGTGAGTGGCCTGCATGCCGTCCTCCACTTGTCACGCAGGCTTGTGTGGCTAAGTTGATGTGAGGGCAGGAGCTGAGCTCCCGGGGGGCCGTCTGGTGGGGCAGGAACCAGGGTGGGGGGCAGGAGGAGATGGTGCTAGAGCCAAGATGCCCATGGGATCTGGACCGAGGGGGAGGCCCAGGGGACCTCTGGGTAACTTTTTGCCTTGTGCCCCCGAAAGAGCCACTCAGGGGCCATCCGGGCCAGTGCGGGCTGGCCAGAGAGAAGAGATGACCAACAGAGAAAAAGTAAAATCCAGTTTCCAAAGTAAAATCAAGAAAAATGTTATGTATATACTAACATGGAACTAGAGTGGCTGAGTTTTTGCAACTGGCTTAGGAGGGAAAGCTGGGAGTGATACGGCAATGACAATACTCTGAGAGCAGCTATGATCACAGGATGAAGGGCAGGAGGGCCATACTGTGGGAGCCCAAGGTACCAGAGCATCTGATCAAGAGGACAGCAGTCAAGGTGGCCTTCCTGGAAGAGGTGACTTCTAAACTGAAACCCACAAGGGGGCAGGAGCATCCTGGAATTCCTCCCAGTGACTGGTGTTTATGATGCTGTGGCTACAGAAGGGGTCCTTTGAGTATTGATGGCGGGGGGCTTAAGAATTTCTCACTAGTCCAAGGGTATATTGCTGGTGGCGAGTGCCCCCTTAGATTCTGATCGTTTGGGGCAGGAAAGAGAAACAAGGTGGATCTGTCTCTCCAGCTAGAGTGTGAGTTGTACTGGCAGGGGGGCGGGGACCAGCTCCCTCCATGTGGGGCTGCTGAATGGGCCATAGGGAATGGATGGGGGAACAGCGGAGACAGACAGTGGAGATGCTCCTGGAGAAGCACCAGGCCCCAGCAGGCACCCGGGAGACGTTAGTTTGCCCCCTCCCCCCCCCCCCCCCCCCCCATCAGGAAAGTCTCCAGTCTGGGACCGGGTCCTTGGACTCCGCCCACGGCGCACTTCCTTGGGCCTTAGCTACACTTATGCAGGGTCAGGGTGTGTGTCCCGGGGACCTGGATGGTGTTGGACTTTTGAAATCTGCGGGGACCGCGGGGGCCCTGGGCAGGGCGGCCTCCTCCGGCCCGCTGCACCCCCAAACGCCCCCTCTCGTGACACACCTTCTGGGTGATAGGTCCCTGGGCCCCCAAAGCACTATCAGTGTGGACCTTAGGATGACACGGACCTACTTCCCAGCCCTTCTCCTCCTCCTCCACTCCCCGCTAAGGCCTTTATCTGGAGACTGGATTTTGAATTTTCCGCCGCAGGAGATGTCAGGGAGCCGGCCTTGCTGAAGGTCCGTGGTCCCCTGGGCCGGGCCGCCGTCATCCGCGCGCTGCCTGCCCCGCCGTCCCGGCCCAACCCCGCGCTGCCCCGGGGCGCACTCACCTCTCTCGGGTCCCGGGCGCAGGAGGCCGGATCGCGGCGGGCGGCAGCGGAGGGACGAGCGGGCGGCGGCGGCGGGGACCGGGCGGGGACGGGCCGGGGACGGGCCGGGGACGAGGTGCGGGCGGCACTGCGCACCGGCTCCAGCTCGCGCGCCGCCTCGCCGCGGGAGGAGGTGGAGGGGGCGGAGGCTCCCGGCGGGCGCCGAGCAGCCGCCCCAGGGATCCGGGGAGGGTGCGGCTTCCAGAACCATTGCTCTCCCGCGGGGAGCGCCGAGGGGCCCTGGGGTTTCCTCCCGGCTCTTTATTGGGGGTCTCTTGGAGGAGAGGATTTGGGGAGCAGGTGGCCGGCTTTGCCTCTGCCAGCTCTCACACTGCGCCAGGTGACCCCCGTAATCTTCACCTCAGTGGGCTGGGCCAAAAAGCCTGGAAAGGGGAGGACGGGTCTGAGCGCTGCCATGAGCCCTCCTCACCCCTCCCCAGCACGTGCCAGGCCTGCCCGGCGCCCCGGGCTCCTGCCTGACTTCACGTCGTTCACTGCTCCGTTTTACAGACGCAGAGGTCGCGGGCTTTCCTCGGGCCCACTCTTTCCCTCTACCTGGGGCAGAAGGGCAAGGAGGGGCGATGGGAGGAGACACAGAAGCCCGGGTCCGAGCTTTCAGCCTCCAGCGATGGCTCCCTGTGCCCTGGGCTGGAAGAACACTGCGCCACCCACACCAACACGGAGTAGGCGGTCAGCTCTTCACAGCTTCCTCCCTCGTCTTTGGTCTTCGGTTCTCAATTCTGTCTCTGCTTTTTCAGCCCATCTCTAAAAAGGTGGTGCTCCCAGGAGCGTGCAGGAATTTTGCAAGCCAGTTGATAAACAGTCATCACTAAAAATTAACTTATTTTAATTTAATTAACATTAATTTAATTATGTTAATTTAGTAGGGCCACCTGGGTGGCTCAGCCGGTTTAAGCATCGGACTTCAGCTCAGGTCATGATCTCACGGTTCATGGGTTCGAGCCCCGAGTCGGGCTCTGTGCTGACAGCTCGGAGCCTGGAGCCTGCTTTGGATTCTGTGTCTCCGTCTCTCTCTGCTCCTCCCCCACTCGTATTCTGTCTCTCTCTCTCAAAAATAAATATTAAAAAAAAAATTAACTTCTGTAAACCTTTGATTAAATACTGTATTTTTTTTAATGTTTATTTTTGAGACAGAGAGAGACAGAGCATGAGTGGGGGAGGAGCAGAGAGAGAGGGAGATACAGAATCGGAAGCAGGCTCCAGGCTGTCAGCACAGAGTCCGTCGTGGGGCTCGAACTTGTCAACCATGAGATCGTGACCTGAGCCAAAGTCGGATGCTCAACCGAATAAACCACCCAGGCAACCCCTAAATACTGCATATTAAAAGCAAAGGTAATAAATACATAAAACTTGCTGCTTCCTAATTATTTTACCAGTACCCATACTCTTGAGGTTATTTATACCCACTTTTTCGGTGTGGAGGTGATGCTCTGTAACAGGTGCCACACATCTCTTCCCACCTCCATGGTCAATGACACCATGTTGGCAGCTTGGAATCGGCCATGGTGAGAATATTTACACCACAGAAATTGGCAGATATTACCAATCAGGGCTTGATTTATGTTTTTCTCAGTGTCTAGACTTAAGAAAATGGCAGAGAAACTGTTCATAGTGCAGAGTAAACTTAAAAGTATGTCTTGGGAGAATATTTATGGCATGTAAGGCGGTACATCTATTTTTTTAAGAAGTGTGCTCGGTCTGTAGCCATGTGACAGCACAAAATGGAGGAAACTTGCTCATCCTGCATTCAGATCTCCTCCGTGACCAGGTAGTCCCCGTGTCATCCACAAAGGAGTGAAGTTCTGACATGCGTTTCTGGTTCGTTTTGCTTTCATGGTACTGGTTAACATAAAGGGAAATTTCAACCAACATCCCTGTTGGAATGATACTGACAGATGTCAGTTGCAAGCACAGGCTGGCTACAAATACACAAGTGTGGCAGAAATCGATGAGAGTTTTCTAGGAGAATCAATTGGCTGTACGGGTTCTGAGGCAGAAAGTATTAGATATTTTACTATTTGTAAATTTTATTACACATCTTTATAAAATTTTATGTATGTATACATGTTCCTTCTCCTTCGGTTGATGAACATTGGGCTGGATGTTTTACGCTGGCTAGATCCTTCCCAGGGTTTGTCCTGTGCTTTCTCACTTTAGTGTTCTACCCAGGGTGAGCCTCTCTTGTTCCAGAGATGATTCCAAATCTCTTTCCAGGTATAGACCTCACCCTGGAGCTGTGCGCACGAATGCCAACTGCTAGTCGGCTCCCCAGACGCCAGGTCCCATATCTCCCAGGCCCGTGCAGAGGGAGGTGCCTGGAGCTCAGGAAGGGCATGATCTGGGATGCCTGGCTCAGCAACAGGACCCTGTGGTACTGCCCGGGGGTGGGGACCATTGCCTGGGATTGGCTGCGGATGTGAGCGAGGTGTCAGAGCTGGAACCAGCTGATAAAGTAATGGATAGGACACAGGGAAGAGGGAGGGGGATGTCAAATATCATCTGGTTAGGGGACAGAGAAGACGAGATGGGAACCACAAAGAGGCTTTGGTGGGGGGCAGACGGTAAACAGTATGCTGAGCATTGAGTTGGAGGGACATCCAGGCTGGAAACACAGGTCCGGAGGTTCCAAGGAGAGGCTGGGGCTGGAGCTGTTTGGACCTTCTGGGAACAGACTGTAATTAAAATCATGGATGTGTGTGAGCTTGTCTGGGGCGAGGGGAGGGAGCCATAAGAGGGCTGGGTGCACCTCAGTGAGCCATGTAGAGCGGCCCAGTCCACAAAGGCATGGGTGTGACTAGTGCGGAGGCAGAGACTGAGGGGAATGGGTCAAAAGGAAAGGTCACCGGGGGTGAATGCCCTGAGAGGTGCCACGAGGGCTAAGTTGTTTGAGACAGGCAGTCTATTGGGCAAGCTACCGCCCAAACCCAGGGCCAGGGGTGTGTGTGTGTGTGTGTTTGTGTGTGACCCGAGATGAGAAAAACTGAGACAAGGGTGGGGGTGCAGATTTCAGACACAGTCCAGAACGTGACCTAGGTGTGGGGTGTGGAGAGAGGAAGGGCCAAGCCTGCATCTCGGGCTTCTGGTTTTTGTGATAACAGGACAGCTGGTCCTTGAATGAGCGAGGGAGCCAGAGGGGTGGGGGGTGGGGGCAGGGTGGTCAGGTGGAAGAGTCGAGCGAGGCCTGCAGGTCCAGGCAGGAGGATCTGACAGCAGGTGGGGGGCTTCAGGCCTACAGCTCAGCAGTCAGCCCTTGGCTAGCCCTGGGGGGCTGCCCGCAAGGGGCAGCCTCTGGGACCTAGCACCTTAACTGTGAAGGCACCTTTAACTATGAATGAATGAGGGGCTGGCAAGTGTGAGCCCTGGAGACCCGTTCCAGACAGCAGAGAATCCCAAGCGAGGTTCACGTGCTAAGTGGCCAGGTGGCAAAGTCTGCACAGGAGGAAGCAGAGAGGTGGCTGCTGCTGTTTGGCCCAAGCCTTGTGGATGGCAGCCCCCCGCTGAGCGGTCACACAGGACAGGCTGTAAGCTTCCGAAAGGACAGGCGAGGAGGCAGGAGACTCTTAATCTGGGGGCACACGGGTGGCTCAATCACTTGAGCTCAGGTCGTGATTGTGCGGTTCATGGGTTGAAGCCATTCATGAGGCTCTCTGCTGTCGGCGCAGAGTCTGCTTCGGATCTTCTGTCCCCCTCTCACTCTGTCCCTCCCCTGCTTGTGCTCTCTCAAAAATAAACGTTAAAAAAAGCTTGGTGAAGAAAGAGAGAGACACCGAGGCAGCAAGACAGAAAGCCATTTGAAGAAAGACTTCACCATGTGTGGATATGAATATGCCTCCCATCCTCCCTCCCTATTTAAGCATCTGATCTGAGGCCCCAGAGATCTAAATTCCAGATCCTAGTTGAGTACTCTTGGGAAAATCCAAAGGACCAGTTGGAGCTGAATCCTACATCAAAATGGGGTGTCTGGGTGGCTCAGCCGGTTAAGCATCCAACTCTCGATTTCGGCTGAGGTCACGATCTTACGGTTCGTGAGTTCCAGCCTTGCATCCGGCTCTGTGCTGACAGTGAGGAGCCTGCTTGGGATTCTGTCTCCTCTCTCTCTCTGCCCCTCCCCTGCTCACTCGCCCTCTCTCTCAAAATAAACTCTAGGAAAAAAAAATACAAGTCTGGGAAACTGTATAGTAAGCACGAAAAACTTGTTCTCTGACCTGTTGGCAGAGTAGATTCCAGAGGCCGAGAAGGCTCTTGGAGGTGAAGCAGGGAGCCCCGGGAGCCCCTGACAACCTGTCCCATAATGCCAAGGCTGTCCAGTGAGATAACCAGGACTCCGTTCTCTGCCATCTCATTTTATTATGATCCTGTCCGTGTGTTCCAGAATGAATGGCTATTCAATACACAACCGAAAGCGCTCCTAAAACTGACCTTAACAATCCCATTTTTTCCTCGGATTAAATCAAAAGAAAAAAAAAATAAATCTTAAAAAAAAAAAATCACCAAGTTTAGTATATCCCAGAAAGAGCACCTTTACTAAACAGAAAACAAAACGTGTCAGGAATCTGACCAAATACATAAAAGCAGCAGGTTAAGATTCCTGATCGAAAAGGACTCCCAGTGGAACATAAATAGATTCCCCCTCAAAGGACATATATCTCACAGGGGAGTGTACATACATATGTAATATATTAAAAGAAATTTGGTTTCTACCACAAGTTATTCAGAAATAATAAATCAATCTCATCTGAGACTGGGGAAGTGGAGGCTGTACCCCACTCTTGCATACACCTCCCCTCTGTACACTATGTGCACTTGCTGGTCGGGGGTGGGGCAGGGCCCTCTCTCTGCCCCCAGCCCCCCAGCCCCAGAAGATCCAGTGTTTGTAGAGAAGTGAGTCAGGGAAGGCAGGCCTCCCCGTGGCCCCCGAGCCCACCATGCAGAGCCCAGGAGCCGGCTGCAGGGGGACCGGGGGGGCGGGGGGGCGGCCAAAGCCCGAGGCCACTTGCCACCTGCCTAGAAGGCCACCTTAGCCCTGGGGCAGAAGGGGATTGCTTGGGACCCCAGGAATGGCATGGCAACACCCCTGATTTTCAGCAGCAAGCCTAATTCTGGGGTACCCCCACCAAGGTCCTCAAGATCTTTGTAGTTTGGCCAGTCTGGACTTCTCCTAGGATCAAACGGCTTTGGGGAGAGGGAATGGAGTTTCCAGAGCCACGGGGCGGGGGCTTGGCCACGTGAAAGTGTATCTGCACACACGCACATACACACACCCGTGCCTTAAGAGAGGTCGACAAGTTGCAAATGAGTGTTCTACCGGGACGTGCTCAAATAGTGTCTGCTTCAATGGTTCTGTCACTGCATTCTGAGTGTCCCCGTCAAGTGTGGATCTGTTCGAAAGCGCTCAGGTGCTGGAAGCTACAGAAGACACACACCTGGGAGTGTAACCCTCGCAGGGCTTGGCACAGTGTTTTCATTAACGGGAGAGACGCACAGGAACCCCCATCCTCATTCT